TGGGGGGGAGCGCGGCCCCGCTGGTCGCTGCAGCCCGAGGGAAGCGACGTGCCCGGCAGCCGGCCGCCTGCGCTGGCATTTCCCGGGGCTGGACTCCACCGCTGCGCCCGCGCCCTAGCGCTCCCCCAGTCCGCACGTGCCCCGCTAGGCCGGAGTGAAGACTCCTCCGCCCGCCGGCGTGGGGCTGGTGTTGGCCCAGACGCAGGGTTTGGGGCGGTCTTGCTGCTTTCGTTGCAAACGGACAAGAAAGGCCCCGGCTTCCCTGGGGGGCTCGTGGCTGGGAGCCTGGATGGGAAGGGGTCAGCTGGGAGGCAGAGCCACTGCTGGGAGCCCAACAGCCTTGGCAGGGAGCTGTCAGTGGGGCTGAGAGACTGGGCTCCCAGCTCCCCACACTGCCCCTCCTAGGCTGGTGGAAGCACTCCTGATTAGGGCATATGCCACTGGCTCAAGGAGGGTGGTATGGACGTGCACCATCACTGTAAGCTGACTTTATATGTCCGTTTCGATTTGTAGTATAGGACATACCATTTAGCATTGACAAAACTGTGACTTCCTCATAGTTCCTGAAAACAGCTTTCTCTTCCCATTCATAGGAGTCTTTACCAGTATACTCTGCAGAAAAGGGGGTGTGGATCAGAATACTTAATCGTGCATAAGCGCCAAGTGGACATTTTTTCTTGATGTTATCATGTGTCCTGAAATTCTCAGTCTTTGTTAAATTTTCTAACAGGCACCAGCTTGCTTTCTCTCATGTTACCCCTCATGTTCGGAAGGACTTTCCCCAAAAAATCTGCACAACAAACTTATTATTCTCCTACAAAACCCCCTTAAAAATACTCCTTTGCTGTGGTGCCTACAAAAAATAAACTTGCCAATGGTTATGTTGCTGATGTGTTGAGACCACTGCTTAGGTAACTAGTGGTGTCCCCTAGGGGTGTGTCCTGGGACCAATCCTATTCAACTTATTTATACATGATCTGGAGAAAAGGATTAACAGTGAGGTGGGAAATCTTGAGCAATTTAGTATCATCTGCAAGTTAATTAAGACCAAAGCAGACTGTGAAGAGCTTCAAAAAGATCTCACCAAACTAAGTGTCTGGGCAACAAAATGGCACATGAAATTTAATGTTGATGAATGTAAAGTAATGCACATTGGAAAAAATAATCCCAAATATACGTATAATATGTTGGGGACTAATTTAGCTACAGCTACTCAAGAGAAAGATCTTGGAGTCATTGTAGATAGTTCTCTAGAAACATCCACGCAATGTGCAGTAGCAGTCAAAAAAGCAAACAGGATGTTAGGAATCATTAAAAAAGGGATAGAGAATAAGACAGAGAATATGTTATTGCCCTTATATAAATCCACGGTATGCCCACATCTTGAATACTGCATATGGATGTGGTCACCTCATCTCAAAAAAGATATCCTGGCATTGGAAGAGGTTCAGAAAAGGGGGAAAAAAAGATTAGGGGTTTGGAATGGGTCCCATATGAAGAGAGATTAAAGAGACTTGGACTTTTCAGCTTAGGAAAGAGGAGACTAAAGGGGGTTATTATAGAGGTCTATGAAATCATGCCTGGTGTGGAAAAAGTAAATAAGGAAAAGTTATTTACTTGTTCCTATAATAGAAGAACTAGGGGTCACCAAATGAAATTAATAGGTAGCAGGTTTAAAACAACAAAAGGAAGTTTTTCTTTACTCAGTGCACAATCAACCTGTGGAACTCCTTGCCAGAGGATTTTGTGAAGATTAGGACTTTAATGGGGTTCAAACAAGAGCTCAGTAAGTTCATGGAGGTTAGGTCCATCAATGGCTATGAGCCAAGATGAGTAGGAAAGGTGTCCCTAGCCTCTATCTGGAAATGGATGACAGGAGAGGGATCGTGTGATGATCACCTGTTGTGTTTACTCCTGGAGCATCTGGCATTGGCCACTGTCTGCAGACAGGATACCAGGCTAGATGGATCTTTGGTCTGACCCAGTATGGCTGGTCTTATGTTCTTATTTTATTTTCTCTGTTTTCTTGTATTCACCTACCACCTGTCTGTAACCATTTGTTGTCTCTTGTCTTGTACTCAGACAAGTCTGGGCAAAATAGAGCCTGCAGATGCTGCGGGGAGCCTGAGGCAGGCTTCCCGCTTATAGAATCATAGAGCTGGAAGAGACCTCAGAGGTCATCGAGTCCAACCCCCTGCCCAAAGCAGGACTAAATCAACCCAGCCAGGGATTTGTCAAGTTGAGACTTAAAAACCTCTAGGGATAGAGATTCCACCACCTCCCTAGATAACCCATTCCAGTGCTTCACAGCCCTCCTAGTGAAATAGTCTTCCCTAATATCCAACCTAGACCTCTCCCACTGTAACTTGAGACCATTGCTCCTTGTTCTGCCATCTGTCACTACTGTGAACAGCATCTCTCCATCCGCTTTGGAACCTCCATTCAGGAAGTTGAAGTCTGCTATCAAATCTCCTCTCACTCTTCTCTTCTGCAGCCCAAACAAACCCAAATCCCTCAGTCTCTCCTCATAGGTCATGCACTCTAGCCCCCTAATCATTTTGGTCACTCTCTGCTAGACCTTCTCCAGTGCGTCCACATCCTTTCTATAGTGGGGGGAGGAATAGCTGAGTGTTTTGAGCCTTGGCCTGCTAAACCCGTGGTTGTGAGTTTAATCCTTGAGGGGGACATTTAGGGATCTGGGACAAATCTGTCAGGGATGGTACTTGGTCCTGCCATGAGGGTAGGGGATTGGACTCAATGACCTCTCAAGATCCCTTCCAGTTCTGTGAGAGAGGATGGCAGATGGATGACTCAGTCCCTCTTAGGAGGGAGTCCCCAACCACCACCACCCATCTTTTTCTTTTGCCTCACCTCACCCGCATGTTGCTCAGAAATGCGGCTGTGGGGTGATTTTACTTTAAAACCTGAGCCCGGAGGGGGAAGGATTTAGGAACTGCTTTCGCCCCCAGTGCAATCCTATTGACTGGCTTCTGGCCTGTATTTCCCCTCAGTGGTCCAGCAAGTACCCATTCTCAAGCATCCAGCTCCCCAGCTGTTGCCTTTCTCGGTAGAGATCCTTGTTTCTCTCTCCTTTGTGACTGGAATATTTCCAGGCTGCTTAGTTTCTTGTCTTCCCTGTGTATTTTCTAGGACAGACAGGTGTGCTCAAGGACAAGTGTAATTGCAACAAATGTTACCCTCCACCACGCTACCCGTGCAAGCCTACTTTAGTCCTAAGGTGAAAAGCATTCTAGAGAGAACATTTAAAAATAACAGAACTAGGGATGTTAAATTGCATTGAATCTACTAGTCGATAAGGGGGGAAACTGCAGAACTAACCCTGTTGTTGGCTCTGTCTTTTAAATGTATTAAGACCCACCAGACTTGTCCCTGGTCCCGCGCTGTGCCTCTGCCTCCCCTGCTCCCTGCAGAGATGGTGCTGGGGAAAACCAGCTATTAAGCCGACTTCCCCCCGGCTCCTGCTCCCCATCCTTGCTGCCTCTGATAGAGGCAGCGGTGTGGGGGAGTAACTAATCAAGTCACTACTTGACTATACAATACGCTTATGCTTACATCCCTAAACAGAATCCACGTGCATGCTATTGAACTTAACAGAATAACCTGCAATTCTAACATGGATTCTGGCAGGAACAATCCTTCAAACTCACACTCAAGAAATTCCTGGTGGTTGCAACTTCAGTTCCAAACAAGCACCCAGTCCTCCTAACACTTTCCCTCTGATGCACTGCTAACTGAGGAAAAGCCTATTCTTGCTTATAGACCACCCCCCAACCTGAAACGAATTCTTTCCGGTCACTATGCTACACAACCACATCATAATTATCCAGGAACCCAGCCCTGCAATCAGCCGTGGTGCCAACTCTGCCCACGTATCTATACAAGCAATTCATCACTGGAGCCAACAACATAAGCTACCAAATCACAGGCTCATTTAACTGCACATCCAGTAATTTGATCTATGCCATTAAATGCCAGCAGTGCCCCACTGCTATATATATTGGACAAACTGGATAGTCCCTATGGGAAAGAATCAATGGACACAAATCAGATATATGTAGAGGGAACATACAGAAACCTGTTGGAGGTTTCAATCTACCTAATCACTATTTAAAAGATCTCCAGGTGGCTATCTTGTCACAGACCAATTCTGCAAGCCAAATACACAGACAGGTGTTGGAATTACAATTCATCCACAAATTCAGTTCTCACACTGATGACCTCCTCAGTTGACATAACGGATGGCTGGGACATTATCAACGTAACATTCAGTGAAGGTGCCAATAGCTCTTTGTCTGTGTAGATTCTTGGGTTATTACCCTTCCTATCTAATTGCTATGTTATGACTATAGCTTCTTTTAACTATCCAATCTTTAGGTGCTTATAGGTTACCAGTTCTGCCTACTTGTTTTTCCCTTTGATATTTTCATACCCTCTGCTCCTTTCCTACCCCCTTCCTTTTTTTCCTGTCCTCTTCCTTCTCCCCTATTTATTTTGGGTTTGCACATCGTAAACTCAAAACACCAGTCATCTGAAGAAGTGGGCTGTGCCCATGAAAGCTCATGATCCCATCTACATGTTTTGTTAGTCTATAAAGTGCTAGCAGACCATTTGTTGTTTTTTAAGTTTATCCTATACAGACTAACTCGGCTACCCCCTGAAGCTTCCTAATTTAATCAAGTTTATCTGCATTCTGTAAGATTTGATCAGGAAATTACATGATATTGTCACTGTGTCACAGGACCTTGTTTCACCAGCAGTTCTTTTCAATTGCTTGCTGCTCAGAGTACCATGTCTTCAACTTCTGACATTTAAATTCAAGGCAGGATCTGTTTTACTTCATACTATTCTCTGAACATCCATAACAAGTATATATAAAAAAAATTCTAACTGCCAGCCTTTCAGATTCTTCCAGAAGTCCTAGAATCAAGCTCAATTATTACCTACTTATGCATCATCATCATCATCACCACTTTTCAAAAGGACCTGCAATTTAAAAGTCTCAGAGGGGGAGCCGTGTTAGTCTGTAACTTTAAAAACGAGTATTCCTATAGCACTTTAGAGACTAACAAACTGTTGAGCAATCTGTCCTTCCTAGGTATTTACAGCATGTTAATCTGTTAATGAGATTGCTATTATAAATAAGTTTCTCTACTTAGCACTTTCTGTTCCAGGGTCTCAAATGCTTTGCACCCAGCACTGTATTAAACCTGCAAATAGCTAGATGGTCTCATTTTTTAAAGTGATAGAAATGTAACCATGTTAGTCTGGTGTAGCTGAAACAAAATACAGGACTATGTAGCACTTTATAATAAACCATCTTGTTAGTCTTTAAAGTGCTACATAGTCCTGTATTTTGTTTCATTTTTTAAAGATGGGGAAAACAGGTACAAAGAGATTAAATGATCTGCCCCAGGCCTCACAAGAAGCTTGTGGCAGAACTAAAAATAGAACTGCAAATTTATTAATCCCAATCCTTTGCTTTAATGACAAGACTGTTTCCAATGAGTTAGTGTTTGTGCATCAATTCAAGATTGTAAATTGAACACCTTTCAGCTGTTAAGTTCTGTTTTGAAGCCTGAGATCTGTGACTTTGGGAAGATACTGCCATTGTCTGTTTCTAAGATGAATGTTGTCAAATTCTGAATCAATTTCTTCATCCTTAACTGAAGTTTCCATGGATCATGCACAACAGCAGAGGACCAAATCATGTAAATAATCCAAAACTGGATGAGCGCGCGCGCACACACACACACACACACACACACACACACACACACACACACACACGCTCCTTACAACTCTTTCTGTCTCTTGGGATCTCAGAGTACTACTTGTAGATGGTGAGCGGACACAGTGTAAATTCTCAAGCTGCAATTTGTGTGGTTTGATCAAAGTCAGGTACAGATCAAGTACTATTGATTCACTTGAAAGCATCAGAAATATTTATATGGAAATCAGTTAAAAGGCAACAGCAAAAAGGAACAATATATGGAGTTTGAGTCTGAGTTATGGTGGGCTGTGGAGTACTTTCAGTATGGGAAGATATGGTGTCAGTTAGTACTAATCTTAGTGGAAGTGACCCTAAAACTTTTTTTTAACCTCATTGGAATAATGGAGCTAGCCATAGGGTCAGAAGTCACCCGTCTGGTGTCCTGACCGGGATCTTGCTCTGTCCAATGATAACTGTTCAGCTGGGACTTCTCATCTTAGAAAAGAGGCAACTCAGGGGTATGATAAAGGTGTATAAAATAATGACAGGTGTGGAGGAGGTGGGTAAGGAAAAGTTATTGACATGTTTCCATAACATAAGAACTAAGAGTCACCAAATGAAATTAATAGGTAGCAGGTTTAAAACAAGCAAAAGGAAGTACTTTTTCATGCAATACAGTCAACCTGCGGAACTCTTTGCCAGAGGATGTTGTAAAGATCAGGACTTTAGTTCTTTTTTGAATCCTGTTAGATGCATTCATGGAGGATAGATCCATCAAAGGCAATCTCCATTAATTTTAAATTTTTACAGCCAATCTCCTAGAACTGGAAGGGACCTTGAAAGGTCATCAAGTCCAGTCCCCTGCCTTCACAGCAGGACCAAGTACCATCCCTGGCTATTAGATAGAATGGGCAAGAATGGTGTTTGTCAGAGGCTGGGAATGGGTGATGAGTGGGATCACTTGATGATTCCCTGTTTGTTCATTCCCTCTAGGGCACCTGCCACTGGCCACTGTCAGAAGACAAGATACTGGGCTAGATGGACCTTTAGTCTGACTCAGTATGGCCATTCTTATGCATGCATGTGCTTACATGTGTATATTTCCTTGACTAGGGCCCGCCGTGGATAGGGGCTACTCCAGCTACATTTGAATGCCCTTGTCTGCAGCAGGCCCTACGGGACTGAAGCAGTCCCCACCAGTTAACCAGAACTGGTAAGCATCAATTAAAGGTGATGCTTACTGGTTAACCAGTTAACCTTTCACATACCTAATGCTCCCAGTCACCCCTGTGGGACTCATCTGGGTCCTGTCTTGCATTGCCAGAACTTTACAAAAGGCAGTGTCCTGGGTGGTGGTGAATTGTGGGATGAAATACTGACCCAAGGGCACTGCACTCTGAATCAATACACGCATCACTGGTGAATATGCACATTATTGACACCAGGAACCAAGAGTGCATTTGCATAAGTGTTGTGCTAATTACAGTGACTGTTTGCTGATGTAATTTGAGTTCAAATAACTTTGATCTTGGGCTTTGTGACTTTCCATCACCTTCCAGGCACAGCAGTGCTCAGGCTCACCACCCCTTAGTTCCTTTGGGAAGTTCCTATTCTCTACAGCGGTGGTGTGAAGATTGATGCATTAAAGATTGTGACGCATTCAGATATCATAGAGGGGGCAGGGAGAGGGACTCAGTCTGTGTGCTGGTGAAAAAATATTTCCTTTTATAAGTTATGAATTTGTCACCTTTTAATGTTGTTGAATGGTCCCTTGTTCTTGTGTTACGAGATGGGGAGAACAGAGAAGCTCCCCATCTACTTTCATGAAACCATTTGTTATTTTATATATTTCTGTTATGTCCTCTGTTGTTAGTCTCCTTTCAGTTCCTATTTCGAGGGGAGATAAAATTTTCCATGCCCTTGATCACCCTTGTCTGAAACCTTTCTAATCCTATAATAGCCTTTTTGAAATGGGGTGACTAGGTCACACTACTGATTTTTATAATGGCATTACAGTCTGTTCTTTAGCCATCCCTTTTTGGGGCGGGGGAGGACCCACACTGAGTAGTGATCTACACTGAACTGTTTATAGTGATGCTCAGGTTCCATTGCTAAGTTGATATAATTAATGTAGCACCTGTGACTTTGGGTGCCCCTCAGTGCTAACTGGCCGAAGGTCCCCTGTACATTGTCATGAGGCCTGACACATTCGTTTTCCCCGATACACATTAGGACAACAGTGTATCTAAAAGATGTCATAGTTTTTAATTAAGTTAGTGCGGGTAAAAGCCAAGGAATTGAGACACAACCAAACCCCGACTTTCTTATGGAAAACAGTCGAATTCCAGACACATCCTGTTCTCCTGGGACAACCAAGCCCTGACTTTACTTTAAGTTACAATAAGAGGAAGCTGTATACCAAATAGGACCACCACATCTGTTATCATTTAGGAGGAGTTCTTGAACAAATGGATTCTGACAGTGATATGCACACATCTCTCTCTCTCTCTCTCTCTCTCTATCTCTCTATCTGGTCTGGTTGCTTGAGTCCTGTGCTTCAGTTTGTGGTCCAGTGTTTCTCCAGTTTGTGCCCATGCTGACTTAGGACTATATACATTTTCTACATTATCACTTAATCTTTATCTGGCCAGCCTATAGCACATCAATCCTTTGCAATTTATATAACTTGCCCATTATGCATACACAGTTACGCAACTTTTGCATTTTTCCTGTTGATTTCCTCATGTTGTCACCCATCCCTGTGTCTTCCCAGAAGGAGTGTGTGTATGTGGCTATTTGTCATTATATGTTGGTGTATCTCTTACTTACATCTTTCAACACAAGTTTATTTCAGCATTATCATTGTAAGCTGATTAGCAATTCTATAGAAAAGAAGAATTGGCTAAAACGTACTTACGCGAGCAAGGACTTGGCTGAAGTGTTACCTAGTTAACAAAGCTTTTAACTTTACCATTAACAATTCTTCATTTTATGTTTCAGAGCTGTAAGTCAGCATAGGTTGTTCTGAGCTACTCGTTATCTGTTCAAAAGGGGAGGCAGAGTTATGGGTCTGTATTGTCAGCATTTCTTGTCGTCTTTAAACAAGGGTTATTCATTCCAAGTCGAAGTTTGGTTTGTGAATCTTTATAGAGCAACTTCATTAGAACATGTCTCAGTGTGAAGGCCTTGATGTTTTGTTGCTTTTAATGAAGCCCTAACAAGATGTTTTGTGTTGTCAGGTGTATTGCGAGTATGGCATGGTGCGGGTTCTGTCTGAGAAAGGGAACAGTAAAGGAAAGGACTACTGTATCCTCTTCAATTCTCAGTGGGCTCACTTGCCGCATGACCTGGGAAAAGCTGTAAGTACATAAATCAAGCAATGAGAGGGATAGAGTTCAAAGACTCCCATACTTTAGGGAATCCCTTAGGCCTCACCTAGTTCTAGGAAGGCTGTCGATGAGTAGGATGTTCATTTGTTTTCAGGAATATTCTTTGCTTTTGTGTGTGTGCGCAATAAGCTCTAGCAAACTGATGATTTAGCCACCGTATACTTTTCCAAACACAAGTCATCATTTGAAGTTACCAGTCTTATAAAAGAACCTTCCTTTTACCACCAAAGCTCTTTAATAATGATGAAAATGGCTCTCACCCTGGCAAATTAGGTGTTTAGTTCTTGTATCTGCAAAGATAATGTTGTTTTTGAGAATTGAATATAAATAGATAGTTTAGACAAAGAGTTCTAGTGTCTCTTCAGTAGTTCTGCTAAGATGCAGTAAAATAAAAAATAGACAAGTCTTTTCAGGTTTTACTGCTTTATTCAGACCTGCAAGAAACTTGGGTCAGTTTCACAGTGCTCCCTGAGAAAAGCGATGAGCAAGACTTGACACAGAAGCATAGAAATGGAGACTGAAGGAGGAATAGATTAGCAGAAACTCCCTCTCCACCATCATAACTGCCAGGCATCTCTGGGTGGCAGAAAGAACAGAGGCTCTAAAGTGTATTGTACACCTGCTACTCTGATGTGGAATATGGAGACACTGTGTGGGATTCCAGGACAACAAGAAGCCTGGTAAAGAAGCAGGAAGAATTGGAAGTCCTGGCACAATCAGGAAACCAGGTGTGATTAGAATTACAGACACTTGGTGGGGCAACTCACATAATTAGTGCACTGTCGTGAAAGGATATAAACTGTTCAAGAAGGACAGGTCAGGGAGAAAAGGTGGAGGAGTTGCACTGCATATCCGAGAGCAGTATAACTGCTCAGGACTCCAGTGTGAAACTGGAGAAAAGCCTGTTCAGAGACTCTGTGTCAAGATTAAAGGCAGAGCAACAAGGATGATGCCATGCTGGGCATCTGCTGTTGACCTCAATGAGGCTTCTTTAAAACACAGCCTTCTCTCCTGGGCTCCTTTTCCCCCCTCATATTAGCCTCCCAGGGGATCCTGCCCATCAATTTCCTGAGAGTTTCAAAGTCTGCTTTTCTGAAGTCCACAGTCTGTATTCTGCTGCTATCCTTCTTTCCTTTTGTAAGGATCCTGAACTCAAACACAAGAGCAGGAGGATGATGTTAGATGAAGCTTTCCTGACAGATTTGTGCATGTCCAGTTTTGATGTGATTTTAATTTAAATGTTGTATTTTACTACAATTTAAATGCAGATATTTGTTGCTGTTTCTTAGATCTTGGAATTGTGTGTGGTGATGAGAGGGGCAGCATTGTTTGTTTGATTTTTGTAAATGGCAGTTTTTGCTTAATATAAAGAAATTAAGAGTGATATTTTTTCCCCTAAGAGTCCATGTATATCATAGTCTCATTTTTTGGTTTTGCAGCTATCCATTCTTGGTTTTTAACTACTGTTTCTTTCTCTCCAGGCCCTTTTGCAGCTTCAGAATCAAACAGCATCTGTCTTGTGTTCTCCTTCTGATGTACCAGATGGAGGGTTCCATAACAGAATCCCTATGGTGATGCGGAAGAACTGCACCTTTTATGAGAAAGTCAGGCTTGCTCAGATCAATGGAGCTCGGGGTTTGCTGATAGTCAGTAAAGAGAAACTGGTGAGTCCATTCCTAGTTCTTGTCTTCAGTACTGATGTAACTCTGATATTGTTCATGATTATTTATAAGCCTTTATTTTTTTTAATCTTCATTCCTGAGAAGCAGCATTGTCTCAGTGCTTTCTAGAGTTGCTATTTTTTTGTTTACTTGAGTTTGGATTTTCTGATCTGGAGTGTTTCTTCCTAGAATTAAGGTCTCTCTGTGGGCATATGATGACTCAGCTTGCAGTGTTTTGGTTTTATGAGGGGCTATGAAGCTACATATAAAGTTACTCATGTTTGGACACCTGGCTTAGCCAACAGAAACATATATGTTCGTTGCTGATAGTGTCTGAATAATTGCTATTTTGTGAGTAATTTTGTTACTTTTTTCTGTTTGTGGCATTAATAATTATTCATTAAGCCAGAGGTTTTACTCACACATGTAGTGGTGGTTCCCAATGGGACGTATGCATATACATGTCCCTGGGTAAAGTCTGTTATTAAACACTTTGTTAAAACAATGAAGCTGGCTCCTTGGACGTCAAGAAAATCTTAGTTCTTGTGTTGTAACTTAGTATTCAAAAAGACTAATTCTTGTATGGCTTGTATTTGGTGGACTCTTGAGTGTCAATGCCAGAAATACATGTCTGTCAGACTCCTACCAGACGTGGGGGGGGGATGTTGCATAAACATTGGCTGTTGCTTTTTTCTGGTGTGTCCATTAGTGGCAGACAGCTACGTGGGTGCAGACCTTTTGGAGTGTGACAGTTTGTTAAGGGCGCCTGACATCTTTTTTTAGTCAGTAAAAACAGATCCATTTCATATTAGATATGATTAAAGAAAGGCATCGCAGTGTGGACACGAATGGAAGATAATTATCCTTGTTCACCAGAAAGCTAAATCAAATTTGACTCTGCCAGGCCTTATCTCTTGGCGCCTTTTGGTGAAATGCTGATACACATCCTTATTGTTCAAAGCAATATGTCAGACTGAGTGCTGAGTCTTAAAACTTCCTGATTAAAAAGCCATTTTGAAAATATATTTTGCATTTCTAGTCAAATAAACATTTATTATTTTCAGAGTTCTTTGGGAGACATAGCTGTTTTGAACTTGTCCAAGTGAATCTAATAATGAAGGGATAATCTGCTCTGAGGGTATGTCTACACTACAGCACTAATTCAAACTAACTTAATTCGAATTAGTTAATTCGAACTAAGCTAATTCGAACTAATGCATCTAGACCTAAAAACTAGTTCGAATTAGCGTTTTGCTAATTCGAACTAGCATGTCCACATTGAGTGGACCCTGAACCGAGGTTAAGGATGGCCAGAAGCAGTGCTGGCAGGGCATCAGATTAGGACTTAGAGCGTGGAGCTGCTGTCTCAGGCTAGCCGAGGGCTGTGCTTAAAGGGACCCGGCCCCCACCCCGGACAGACCGTTCTCAAGGGTTCCCCGCTCGCTTGTCTAACTCGATGAGGGACAGCAAAGCAGTCCTGACTTGGAGTGCCCTGAATGCCCACACTCGGAACATTACAGCACTCGGCCATCATCCCGGCTGCACTAGCCACAGGCTGCCATCCCGGGGGGAGGGGCCAATCAGGGGGCTGCAGGAGAACTTCCACCCCGAGACGCCCGCAGAGCCAGCCCAGTCCTCCCCATCGGGGGCGCGTACCCCATTCCTCCCTCACCTCCTTCCACTTACCCTTCCCTAGCCCCCCTTCCTGATGTACAAAATAAAGAAAACGTCGTGTTCAAAAATAGAAACTAGGCGTTAGTCCTCATAGAATGAGGTTTACCTAGTTCGAATTAAGCGCTCCGCTAGTTCGAATTAAGTTCGAACTAGCGGTTTGTATGTGTAGCGCCTATCAAAGTTAATTCGAACTAACGTCTGTTAGTTCGAATTAACTTTGTAGTGTTGACATACCCTAATAGATTTGGGAAGCAGGGAAGGGTTGAGGTGCTATTGTAAGATTAATAATGTTAGTCTTAGCTGGACAGTTATTTGCATGTCTCTGTAAGGGATCTTTTCTCTTCTGGTAAATGTATTGCGATCTGGAGGTCAGGGTCTACCCATCTTTTGCACTTAAAAGATCACATGATCCTCAATTGTATTATTCTATTTACCATGAGGAAAAGATTGAGTAATGTGTTTCTCCTGCCTGTGCAGAATGGGTGTTGGTTTGAGATGCTGGTGTCACCTACAGGCCACTAGTCAGATTCACATTATTATGGGTAGTAAAGCGGCCTCAGGTAACTTCTATGTTAGGCATTTATTTTCTGCATAACCCTCCTTCTGTTATCATCCCAAATGTTGATACAGAAAAAGCTGTGTTATCTGGGCCTGTAACAGCCAGCAAGCTGTATAGATCAGTGTTTCTAACCTTTGTGGAAAGTCCAGTTAGCAGTCCAGTTGGCATGGGGCTGGCAGACTCCCTACCTGGCTCTGCATGGCTCCCTGGAAGCAGCAGCCTGTCCCTGCTGGACATGAGGGCTTCAGGGTACAGAGCTGGGAGTTAGGGCACAGGAGGGTTTCAGGGTCCCTCATCTAGAGGGTGCTCACCTTGAGCAGCTCCCCCCCATGTGGTAACTGGTCCTGGCGGCCTCTAGGCAGAGGCACGGTAGGCAGCTCTGTATGCTGCCCCTGCCCCACTCTGCCCTGAGCATTGGCTCTGTAGTTCTTATTGGTTGGGAATCGTGGCAAACGGGAACTGCGGGGGCAGTGACTGCGGGTGGGGACAGCGCACAGAGCTGCCTTTGTACCTTCTGATTGTGGAGAGCCCCTTGAGGTGAGTGCCACCCAGGCCCGGATTCAACACCCTGTCCCGCATCCCAACTAGGGATGTAAAATCCTGATGAATTCGTTAACCGGTTAAACAGGTGACTGGGGCTGCCCAGCCTCTGCCAGTTAACCTGTAATTGGTGTTTACTGGTTAACCATTTACAGGCAGTCCCCGGGTTACGTACAAGATAGGGACTGTAGGTTTGTTCTTAAGTTGAATCTGTATGCAAGTCGGAACTGGTGTCCAGATTCAGCCGCTGTTGAAACTGATCAGTTTCAGCAGCGGCTGAATCTG